AATAGGGAATGTTCTTTTAAAGCTAGCAGGTATTTACTGGTAAAGCCTCACAAATAAAAATGACTGTGTCTAATGGGAGAGGGGTCACCCAGTTCTGCAGCTCTATTGAGCTTTTTTAGCCTCTTTTAGGTTGTTTAAATTTTAGTCTTCTGTCCATTTTCTTCTTTCTTCACTTCAGTTACTACCTAACTGAAGTTGTCTGTCTGCTATTTGAGGCTGGGCGGGTGGAGGAGAGGGGTTGTTTTGTTAAATATGTCTAGTCTACCTGGCTCATTGATCCTTTAATTTACGGGGATTTGTGGAAGTTAGACGGCCCGGGCCCCGACCATGGCTCTGAAATATCAGTAACCGTGCTGTGTATTAATAAATCCATGGTGCTGTCTGTGGTGCTGAAGTAGCAGTCTCCACTCTTCTTTAAGTTTTGTCTCGGATCTATAATATTTGATCTATTACTTAAAAGAACCGGTCCTCTCATCGCTAGGGTGCTTTCTTTGGGCCATTCCCCCCAATCAGCTCATTGTAAAGACAGCTGGTATGTCAGTTCAGGAAAAGAGATCATCAATTTGTTTGACACAAGTCTTAAAATGTACCCATGGAACAAAACAGTTTCAGAACATTGCAGCTTGTTAAATCTCCAGCTGCGTGAGGCAAGTCACCTCTTTCAACAGCCAATCGGCTCATTGCAAAGTCAGCTGGCTTAAGTCAGTTACAAATTGTCAGCTGGTCTAATTGTCAGATGGAGGAAAGAGAGAGAAATCACCCCATCAATGTGTTTGACACAAGTCTTAAAATGTACCCGTCCACAGCTCCACATTCTCAAACCCTCTCATTTTATTTTTAGTTTTCATCGTTTCATGACCTATCATCGATAGAAATGCAACTGTAACAAGTAACTCACTATCACTCATCTCATTTTATATTTTAGGACACTATAAATTATATCCGGGTATAACAAAAAAGTGGTTGCTATGGAGACGTTGCACATTGAACTGGCAGGGTTGCAAGTTTTAACTTGTTGCGTATCGTTAACTCCCCAGCTACAGTAGCTCACTCACTCCTCTAAACCTTGTTTGTTTTTTTCATATTGCAAACCATCAATGGTAAAAATATGTTTGGTTGGCTGGTTTTGTCTGCTGACATCTAAAACAAACACCTTTCAGTTTGGTAATCCACTTACTTTTCATCTTAGACTTAGACTTTATTTGTCATTTGGATTTGCATCAAAATGAGATTTCGTTACAATTACACATAGCACAGCAGGAATAAAGGGGAGGCAGTATATACAAAATAAAATATGCAGATATAAAAAAATATATCTGGCACCACCATCAGGTCAAAATTAATTAAGTTTAAGACAAAACACCTGAAAATCTGTGAAAATCAAATTTGCATATTTTAACATGTTTAGCCTTTTTTTTTTTTTAAACATTTATTACGTATAAAGTTTGATGGCGAGCTTGGTAAAAATGACCTGCAACTTCTGACAAAGCTACAATTTGTTGAAACTGAAGTTGACGTAGTTCAGAAGAGGAGATTGTGTCAGAAATGTTCACACTGAGGTCATACTGCAATAAAATCTGACCTGTATCTAATGTGAAACATATGAAAGATCAGCAGCCTGTTGCACCAGCTGTGTGTAAATGTATCCAAGTTATAATGTAATTACATTAATTAAATCATTAAGTTGTGATTTATGCATCACTAAAATGGAAACTAAATAGTTACACATGTCTAAGGCGATATAACTCATAAATTGTCACATAATTATACTCACTAGTGGTGAAACTGCACTTTTTTAACTTAATAGCCATTTTACGACACATTATTTGAGTAGAGACCTAATTTATTCATAAGATAATTCAATATCAATCGAGCTTACTTTGTGCTACGAAGCCAAGTGGCTCATGCTGAAGCTAATATGCACAGTTACCATGACGATGGATGATATAACTTCCAAACTAGTAAAGTTATGCTCGAAGTAATCGTGGTGCAACTGATTGTGTCGACTCCATAACACAGGAGAGAACTTACACTGCTGCAGCAACACAGTCCTGATTCAGTGTGAGAGTGTGTTCACGCTTTGGCCTTCAAACTGTCATCTGAGCTGTAACTTCACCTGAGCTCTGAGCCCCTTATTGTGACTCATATATCGCATATTATGTTTCCATACACTGTTTAGCATAAATATGATGTATATATATATATATGTTCTCAGTCACATGACCTTTTATTCTTTCTTCCCGACAACAAAACAACAGCTCTCAGGCTTGTTTGTTTGTTTACTTGAACAGAGTTCGAGGGACACTGATTTCATTTGGTCTTTTATCCTGTTAGCTCACCCCTCATTATCACCTCACGAACCTTAATGCAATTGGCGGGTGACGTGCGAATTTTCTGCCATCGAGCGTCATTATTCCCACCGACCTTTAATGCTCCTTAGGTTGAATAAACAGCCGGTGTTGAACGCTCCCCAGAGGAAGCATCAGTGTTATACAGTGGGGAGACGCACTGTATAGAAACCGCTATCCCTGATCTGTTGTTAAGTATTGCCTTCAGGCTGTGGCATCATGGGATTACGTCCCTGCTCGGTGTCACAGGGTTTTTTTGTGAAGTCTGATTTAAGAGGTTGTCTACCTCTGAAGCTGATTTAAAAGGTGTGTGAGTGTCAGTGTTGTGGGCAGCAGTCAGATTCAGGAGGGATGGAAACACACTGCAGGCTGGTTCATCTGCCTACATCGCTCAGCGCCAGGCGGCTAAATTAAGAGCCTCAGTGGCTGATTAAATAAAGGGATTCTTTCTCTCTCTCTCTCTCTCTCTCTCTCTCTCTCTTTCCCCACTCATCTCAGGATAAATGGGAATTGATTGATGACCATTCAGAAGTTGATGCTCATGTCGCAGCATTAGCAGCTTTCTTTTATTTCCTCTCAATCCACTCTCCTCTTTTTGTTTCCCTCTTTCCCTCTTCTCTCACTGCCCCCGTTGAAATATCTCCTCTCTTTCCTTTAATCTCTTCTCCTCCTCCTCTCTCCTTTCCTGTCCTCTCCTCTTTTTGCTATGCCCTCTTCTCCTGTCTTTTTCTTCTCCTCCTTTCCCATTTTCTCTCCTGTTTCTTTCAATCTGCTCCCCTCTCGTCCTATTTTTTCGTCTCTTTTTTCTCTCCTTCCAGCCCCATTCCTTATTTTCCCTCGGTTATCTTTTCTCCCCTTCCCTTTTCCTTCTCTCTACCCAATATACCTCCTCTCTTTCTTATCCTCCTCACGTCTTGTTTCTTCCCTCTCTCCTCTTCTTTCTTTCTTCTATCTTATCTTCTTTTTCTTTTCCTTCCTCTTATCTCACCATCACCTTTGTCCTCTTTTCTTCCCTGCCTTATTTCCTTTCTTTTCTTTCCTCTATTTTCTTTTCTCTCCTCAATCCTTGTTTCCTCTCATCCTTCTTTTTCTTTTCTCTCCTCTCTATCTTCTCCTCTTACTCGTCTCCCTTTCCTTTTCTTTCCTTTCCTCCTTTTGACTTTTCTTTTCCCCTTTCCTCTTAGATTATTTTTCCTCTCCTCTTTTCCTTTACTTTTCATTCCCTCTTCTCCTCTCCCTTTTTTCTCTTCTTCCCATTTTCCTCTTTTTGACCTCTCCTTCCTCTCTCTCGTCTTGTCTTTTTCTCCTCTTTTTATTCACCTTCTTCCGTCTTCTCCACATCTCTTCTCCTCTTTTTCTTTACCCTCCTCTTTCCTGTCTCTTCCCATTCTCTCATGTATTGTCCTCCTCTCCCATCTAAAACCTTCCTCTCATCTTTCATTTCATATCTCCTCTCTCTCTTATCCTCTCCTCTCCTGTCTTCGTCCTTTCCTCCTTTCCTCTCGTTCCCTTTCCTTCTCTCCTCTTTTGTCTTCCTCACTTCCCTCTCCTCATCCCTGTCTCTCTTTCGCTTCCTCCCACTCTTTCTCATAGTGCCCTCCTCTCCTCTCTAATACCTTCCTCTCATCACTCACTTCATCCACCTCTCCTCCCTTCGCTCCCTCTCTCTCTCTTCCCTTTTTAATTTCCTGACCTTTTCTATACTCCTCTTCTTCTCCTTCAAATATCTCTTCCTCTCTGCCTCTCCTCTCCATGCATCTCGTACTCTTCACTTTCATCTCTCCTCTCTTATAGTCTCTCTCTCTCTCTCACTCTACCCCCTTCCTCCTCCTTCCTTCCTCCTCCTCCTCCTCTTCCTCCTCCTCTCGCCTCTGTTCCAGCAGTAGAGAATCACTGAACAGCAGCGGCGGCAGCAGCAGTGTCACTCAGCACGGCAGCGACTCGCATGAAAGTGAGGACCTCTGTTTTTTCTTTTTCTCACCTCTTTTGTTTTTGTTTTTTTGTTTTTTTCCACCATCTCCTCACCCTCTTCTCCCCTCTCTCCTTCTTCCTATTCAGTCTTGATTTTATTCCCCCATCATTTCTTCTCCACTTTTTAATCCTTTTTTTCTGCCACATTGATCTTTTCTGGAGTGCAGCAGTATACATGTACCATGCATTTCAAATAGGGTTTCCATCATTGCTCCAACAAGAGCATGTATGTTTTATTTTTCTTCTCTGCTTTTTATTGCATCTCATTGGATTTAAGTAGGCCAGTCTTGTAGCTTTAATACAGTTTGTCAACCTCCGGGCTCAGATGTGCTTAAGAATGGATATTTTTACAGGTAGGACTTTTTATAATCCTAACTTAAATCATGCAAATCCTTTTTGTGTTGCGGCATGAACGCTGAGATGGAGCAGTATGTTTTGGCCATGGCTGAGTAGTGCTGTGAGGATTTGAGATGTGTATTTTATATTCTGAAAGAGAGCTAATTTGTTTATAAAAATCGTATATTTTAAAGCTGATGGGGATACTATTGGAGGGTTTTCTTCTGTAACCAAAGAGACAGCTTTTATATTTTTATTTTGGCAGATTCTTTCACTGGCTTTTTCTCATTCTTTTTCTCATTTTTGTACTTTCTGTTATTTTCTCACTGGCTGACATAAAGACAGTCTGCAGTCAGTAAAGCACTGGAGTTAAAAACATAAAAAACACAAAACAAATGGGGATCATAATGTCAGTCATTTAAAAAAGGATGGACTTAACGGATGTATTGTCGTCCGTAATGGCCACAATGCCGGCCACAATGCCGGCCACTTTACCACCAAACTCTTCCTTGGAGAACGTCAACCAGACGTCCTCTTCCTCGCCGAGATCTCCTCCTCTACCTCCTCACTCACAGGTGGCGTCAGTGTTAATTGTGCTGGTGGTCACAGTCATCATCCTGGGGACAGTGGTGGGTAACGTGCTGGTCGTGGTGGCGGTGTTTACCAGCCGAGCCCTGAGGGCACCTCAAAACCTCTTCCTGGTGTCTCTGGCTTCAGCGGACATACTGGTGGCAACACTGGTCATCCCTTTCTCCTTGGCTAATGAGGTGAGGAAACTTTTTTTAGGGCACCATTTGCTGCTGGTATTCACGTGCAATCTGTATCTGGACATCTTATCTCAAGAAGGGAAAACACATGTTGTACAGGTGTAAACGCAGATAGAACAGATTGTAATTTTTTCGGCCAGACAACATCTGGAGATAAAGGCTGGAGGCTCGCGCTGTGATCAGATCTCAGCCAGACGTACATGCCATTTCCAGGAAAGAAAAGATGAATCCACAGCTCTGTGAGGCTGTAGTGGTCAAAAACTAACTTTCAGATAAACCAGAGTATTGGACAAATTGAAATATCATAAAAATCAGCTTCAATAAATCTGTACGTAATTTTCCATCCAATAGACATTTGAGTCCGGATTGAACTGGTGGACTCACAGAAGGCGCAATCCCTAGAGCCACACTGCTAGCATGGTATAAAAATCCATCCAACCTAACTCCGCCTCTTCCTGCTGTCTCATCAAGGCGAGCTCTTCCTCTGCAAAGGAAACATAAGTAGAACTTCCAAAAGCGACCTCACTTTTCTTGAAACCCATTTTCCTAATCCCAACGCATGTGGTGACAAGAAGGCTTAAATGAAAAGGTTGTTGGCTTGAGTTTGTGTGACGTATCTGATGACAGCATGTAGGAAACTGTGATTGTGGATTAAAACTTTGCTCACAAGTTTGCACTAAATTTTCAACAGTTTGAAGGACTACATCTACCACAAATCAGAGCATTCCTCAGGCCTAACACCACCTTCAAGTCTCCTTGGAACAGATTAAAAAAACATGAGAAAAAATGTGAGAAAACATAAACTTAAATGTCCATCCTACTTTCTAGAGCTGATTCTGGGTTTACACTGTAAATATAATGATGATGAATGTTTCCTGATTAAACTCTCTTAATTCTCCTCTGAGAGCCCATATTGTACGAGATGCAAGCTGTGAACATCTTGACTTGTTAACTTAATAATTCTAGACAGTTCAATTAGATTTTCCTGAAGTTGGTGGGTTTCTACCTGATGTATAGCTGCTGTTTCCTCTCTGATATTCTCTTCTGTGCCCAGCAATAACAGTTTACTGATCTGTTCCTGCTTTTCATCACCTCGAAATCACCTGCAGCTTCTTGAGAGACACTTCTCAAGTCTGTAATTGTTTCTCATCCGCTGGCCGCTCGGTTTCTCTTCTTCCTGTTCACACAACAGTCTGGGAGTCTGGGTCATACTGGTCCTTCTGTCTGGTTTATTTATCATCTCCAACTAGCTGTCATTTGCTTCCCATTTTCCAGCTAACAGACTGTTGATTTTCTAATTTCCTCTAAAGGAAGGGAATCTTTATCTCATATATATTTTATAGATAAAACAAAGACATATAAATTATTAGGGAATCAGAATGCATTCAGACCCAGTACATCTGGAGCTGTTATGGCTAAACAAATAGCATATATAATAGATCAAATTTAGTCAATAGTGTTGCTAGAATAATGATTATTTTCATAAATTATTACTCTTGAGATGTTTTAGTAATGCTGGTGGCAAGGCTACAACATTTAGGATGGATTGGCTGCAGCTCCTCAACTGTAATACACACAGATCCAGAGCTGTAGTGTATATATGTAGTTTATATATGATTGCATTAATCAGCATCCATCAGGGCCCCCACATGGCTCCAAGGTCACGACGATAAGGTAATGACAGTTTGTCGATCCACCACTGTGGTCCAGACTGAAATATTTGGTCCCCATTGGTCTCAACAACTAATAAATATGAGATTAGACATTCATGTCCCCCCACAGGATTTATTGTTATAATTTCAATAAAGCCTTCATCTAGCACCATCATCAGGTTAAATATGTACATTTGATACTTTAGTTTACCACCAAACAGCCTGTGTGTAGGGCTGAATAACTAATGTTAGCATCCTATAATTTAAATTAAAATGGTAACATCATACCTGCTTAACATCAGCATGTTAGCATGCTGACATTAGCATTTAGCTTAAAGCACCAAGGGCCTAATAATTACAGCATCAGAGCTGCTAGGAAAAATATGCAAAAGTTCCCAGTGTCCAAGGTGACATCTTCATATAAGCTCTGTGGCTGCAAATGAAGCCAAAAACTACAGTTACTCTAATGGCCACTAGAGGCTGGCTCTAGCAGTGAGTCAATCTCCATAAGGCCTCGTATTAAAAAACTTTACAGCAGCAATAAACACCCTGGTACAAAAAACTGTTTAAGTCTTTATAGCTAATTTACCCGTTCCTGACAACTGTACAGGGGGTGAATATTTATATAAGGCACCTGTTTAAACTATATTAAGACTTAAAGTTATGCATAATTAATGGAATGGCCACTTTGAGTGACTGGTGGCAAGATGGCTACGGTCAGAGCCGACCACACTGAGCACTGAACGGCTCTTTGGACACCTATGGGTGATGTCAAAAAGTCCATATTTAACTATACAGTCTATGATTTGGAAAACACCATCAACAATTAGCTAGACAGAGAAATTGTCCAGGTCAGTATATCGGCCATTATTAGCTCATTGCTGATGTATCAGTGTCAATGTATACGTGAGCTGAACAGCCACGCAAAGATATGTTTGAGATTGTCTCCAATATTTATATATAAATATATATAAAACAACATTTAAGGGATCCTTATCAGAAATAAAAGTTTATATTATGTATTTATGTGTCAATGGATATCAGTAACAGCCTCACAGGTCCAGTATCAGTCAGGCTTTATGATATTATACAGAGAATATTAATGATAAAGATAAACTGATGATATAAATTTACATTTTGAGTTCAATAGTTCCCTGTCAGCGTTTCCTCTGAACTCAAGCAGACCCTCGTTTCAAAGCTCGAGAACCATGAACCGAGTTAAATCCCCCAGAAAAAGCCAATGCATCATAATCCAAGTGTTCTTTGTAGCCAAGCAACTGCAGTGCAGCCGAGCGACTTCAATATTTGCCTCCTTTATCACCTGCCGGCAAGGAAAATACAGGTGATGAAGAGGACAAATATTGGCTGTTTCTCTTTAGACAGACTTCATTTGAGTGCAAAGCGCACACCGTGGAGGAATGTGATGGATATTTTACAGTCTCTTGCAACTCTGAAAAGATTGCCAGCTTAAATAATTTTCTGAAGGAGGGGCCTGATGTGAAACCGGAGGGGCGAACTCCCTGAGAGATGTTGATATTTTAAGGTTAAATACTCCTTTAGGCGCCTCCCTGTCGCACTGACTCTACTCTGTAGGTCACTACTCACTGCATAAATGATTCAGTAACATATCTTAATTGTTTTCTCCTCTTTCCAGATCATGGGCTACTGGTACTTTGGTTCCACCTGGTGCTCCTTCTACCTGGCTCTGGATGTCCTCTTTTGCACCTCCTCCATCGTCCACCTCTGTGCCATCAGCCTCGACCGCTACTGGTCCGTCACTAAGGCGGTGAGCTACAACCGCAAGCGGACGCCCAAACGGATTAAATCGATGATCAGCGTCGTGTGGCTCATATCCATCGTCATCTCCTCCCCGCCGCTCCTCATGACGCAGAAAGACGAGGATCTGGAGACGGAGAAGGAGAGCGGCGTGCGGCGGCAAGAGTGTCTCCTCATGAACCAGACATGGTACATCCTCTCCTCCTGCCTCGTGTCCTTCTTCGCGCCGGGAGTCATCATGATACTCGTTTATTGTAAGATCTACCGCGTCGCCAAACAGCGAGCCTCCACCGTGTTCGTGGCGAAGAACGTGGTGGAGCGGCAGCCATCGCAGTCCGAGACCTGCTTCGAGGGCACTGCCAGGACTTGCCACAGAAAGGGAACCGGCTGCGGTAAATCCCAGTACGAGCTGGACAGCCCGCTGCCGGCGAACCGCCACAGCTCGTCCAACGTGGACAGCAACAGCAGCGGCCTCAGGAGAGGAGAGCTGGACGATATCGACCTGGAGGAGAAGAGCTGTGAAGCGGACACAAAAACGTCCTCCTCGTTTTCCTCCGCTCTTCGCTTTCCCAGGAGGACCGGCGGAAGCGTGAAAAGGGAGGAGGGGAAGGACTCAGAGGGATCCACAAACCGACTGAAGCCTCCTCCTGCTCCTCCTTCCTGCGCCTCCATATCGTGGGCCTCCTCCGACCACTGCTCCCACCACTTCCTCCTCCCGTCCCCAGTGCCTCTCCGTAGCAAGCAGATGTCTCTGTCCAAAACTAAAGTGGCACAAATGAGGGAGAAGCGCTTCACGTTCGTCCTGGCCGTGGTGATGGGGGTGTTCGTCCTCTGCTGGTTCCCGTTCTTCTTCACTTACAGCCTCCACGCCGTCTGCAGGGAGAACTGCACGATCCCCGACACGCTCTTCAACCTGTTCTTCTGGATCGGATACTGCAACAGCTGCCTGAACCCCATTATATACACAATCTTTAACCGAGACTTCAGGAGGGCCTTCAAGAAGATTTTATTCGAGACTCATAAACGAACTTAAGATGCGAATGTACATGTGTTTGTGTGAGGGCGTACACAGTTTTAATCCTGTTTTCCACTGTGCTGTCAAACTGACATTAAAGGGCTTGTCATACAGCCTGAGTATTGATTTATTATTCAACTACTTGCTGATTCATTGAATAATCTCTCCCTATTCTAACTAAACAAGCCAGAGGAAGATGATGATGACACGCTGGTGTTGTGGCAGCAGGTGTTTCACACTCTGCATCCTTGATGCAATAACAGTCAAAACATTACAACTTGTGTTTCGCTTCTACTTGAATGTTAAGTAGAGGAAAATGGCCGCAGGGCAGCAAACTTCGTCCCCGCGGAGCTCCGAGATGTCTGTGCACTGTAGCAAGCAGGCTGACTGGCTCTGTGATCCTCAAAGGAGGGAAATATATAATGTAAACTATCAGATTAAAGCATATTATGCATACAGCAGTCATTATGGAAGCAAAGGGGGCCATTGTGGGGTGGAGGGGGCTCAGATGGTTAAAAGATAAAAGTCATGTCTTAAATTAGCTAATCTCTGCGGAGCATTAGCCAACCAGCAAACTAACAACTTGTGTAAATTAGATTTTAGAAATTAGAGTTTTGTGAACATTAGCTTTTCTTTTTTTAGATGTAATTAACTAGCAAATGATTGGACAGTAGAGCTAGTTAGCTAACATTAGGTTAATATACATAAATATATATCGTGTTTATCTTTTAATCATCTTTTAACAACCAAAATTTTCCCACGTTAATTTTTCTTCTAATTGAATTTTGAAGATGGTTGACAGAAAGAAATGACACATGTTAAGTGAGCCAACAAGCTAACTAATAATTGGTGTAAATTGGATTTTAGAAATTGATTTGAATTTTACAAACGATTGATGTAGATTAGTCAGTTAGTTTGCTGACATTAGGTTAAGATGTGACCATATGTATCACTTATCACTTATTCTTGAAAATGTCGACATTGGGGGATTAATTAAGTTAATCTTATTCCTCTTCTACGTTTTTTATTGAATTTTGGTTAACAGATAAAATGACATATAGTCACATGTTAAAGATGTGACCATATATCGCTTTTATCTTTAAATCATCTTTTAACCACCAAAATTTCCCCATTGGGGATTAATAAAGTTAATCTTCCTCTTCATCTTCAAAATGTGGTTTGTCTTTTAAACATAGACAAGCCTAACATGTAGCATATCCAAGTACAGGGGAGGAGAGAGTTGACCAGGGTGGCCAACCTGTCACCTCACAGCTCGAAGGTTTTGAGTTCGATTCTCAACTGCGGCCTTTCATGTGTTTGCATGGGTTTCCTCTGGTTCTCCAGTTTGTTGCCCTTGAGCAAGGCACTGGCTCAGATCCCTGTGAGAATGGGTTAAATAAAGAGGATAAATGTCACTAAATACTTTATATGACTGTGACAATAAAGTTGATTCTATTCTATTGTACAAAAAGAGAAAAAAAACCCGACTGCACTTTGAAAAATATACAGTTTTAATGGATTTCTGTGCCTCGGAGTAATTAAACACCAGCCGCACTTTAAAGTTTAAACTTTAACTTCAAGTAGACATAAAGAACAGAGAGGCTGAATGAAAGTTGCCCGTTTTTCACGCAGCAGCAATGTTCTGTTGACACTGCACCGCTCGGGGGCAAAGACATTAAAAATTCATGCGCAGCTAGCAGATGGGCTGAGCCGCCGTACACAGAGAGGACAAAAAGAGAAAGGAAAGGGAAGAGGGGAGGAACGAGAGAGAGAGCCTAACTACACCCTAAATAAATATAATCAACCTCAGGCTCATAGATGATTATCCTCTGAAGCTCGGGATGAAATATAACTGGACTCTAATCTGACGTGGAACAGACTGGATACGAAGCTTCAAGCTCAAATAATATGTCATCTGTTAGTTTTTAATTTTAGAAAGAGACTGATGATGAGAATCAGGCGAGAGATGCTTTTATCTTTTTTTTTTTTTAAATACCACACAAACCAGAAAGTGTCGGTGGTGGCAAGAGGAGCGACAAGTCCAAGGCCACGAGCAGTGTTACAACATTCTGGTTGCCAGGCAGCACATAGTTTGACGGCGACTCGAAAGTTGTGTAATTAACTGTATCTGTACCGAATAATGCGGTTAAAAACAACAAAAAAAGGGAGAGACAAGAGAGAGTACTGACTCTGGCAGCAGTTTTCAAATAGTTTGTACGAGCTGGAGGGAAAATGAAGAGCACTTAATTACAGAAAGCAGCTGACGAGGCCGACCAACGTTATTATAGTGAGCTAAAACTAAAAACTAGCTGTTGAAAAACATTTTAGTTAAATGACCAGCATGTAGGAGAAATTAAATCTACAGCTATGTTTTTTAATTTTGAAGATGATAAAAAAAGAAAAGATAAAAGCGATATATATTATCGCAAGTCAAAATGTTAAAAGCTAAGCAGCAATGGTCACACAGCCCTATGTGGTTAGGGTTAGGGTTAGGGGGAGAAAGGGGGATAAAATCTGATACAAATTTATGAAAAAGGAAATGTGGGAACATAGGGCTGTGGGAACATAGGCATGCTCCCATTAAAACATATTTATGAATATTATATTCACTTTCTGCTAATAGATCCAATAGATGCTGACCTTTTAACAGAAAAAAAGGTAAAAACTAGACCAAACTAAAACTAACTGAAACAATATGGCGAACTAAGATAAAATAAAACTGCACAAGGAATGTCTTGAGTTTCAGTCTTAAGTCACCACAACAGGCATGAAGTATTAGTCTATATGTTCCCTGCAAACACAGCGACATCCAAACCTAGATGTCGTCAGGGGGTTGAAAAATATAAAAGCCAAAATGAGAACTGAACCCAATTTTAGTGCTCAGTATTCAAGAACTCCTACACACAGATTAACCATTTAAAGTAAAGAAGAAGATTTACTTGCTCAAGAAGACCTCGGCGGTGCCCAGGAGGTGGACCTGGTCCTTCTCCAGCTACCAGTCTAAGTTCCCAAGCCCAAGTTCCTACAGATCTACTGCTGTCTGTTACTGTAATACTCATTGATCTCCCGAACACAAAACGAAAACTCAATCAGGTTCAGAGGCACTTATTGACTCATTAATCAAATACAATAAAACTGCAGCTGCCTCATTCAAAAGCTACTTAAGGTACTGAGTGATAAGCCAGCCACAGCACGCTATCTCGCCCATACTACACAATTAGCATAAACAAGTTAAATGTACAGAAACGGCTCCGTCTTTCACATAACACTTGGAACAGGTGTGCTGCATAAGGTTACAACCACTGTCTCACACATGCATTCACTTATAACCAATAACCATGTGAAGAAGCCTGTGTTGTGTTTGTCTGTGCTGATCTCAAAGGATACAAAGACGTGCAGTAGTGAGCAAAATCTGAAGATGCTAGGCACGCATTGTAAAGGTCAGCATATTTGGGGTCAAAGTTTTAGGGTACCTGTTATAGCAGATAATGTTTAATGTTTTTTTTCCCATTATATAATTTTTTTTATTTATATAAAAAAAAGCCTCGGGGGGTCACAGGGGCTCTAAGCAGGCACTTAGCATTAGCAAGAGCTGTTGTAAAGTGGACATCCACCTGTCACTCAAAGCTTCCATGCCCTTAATAATGCAATAACTTTAATTTAATTTAAGTGAATGACTCATGCAAAAATATACCCCATATCCCAGTTGTCCTGAACTTGGTTTTTAGCTATAGAGACCAAAACTGTTTTTTTGTACCAGACTGTAAAAATGTTTATTTCATCTGTAAATTTGGGCATTTTAATATTGAGCCTTATGGAGATTGACTCACTTCTGGAGCCAGCCTCAAGTGGCCATTAGAGGAACTGCAGTTTGTGGACCTTAAGGAAAGATCTCAGACTCTAGAGAACTGAAAAAGAATCAGACCAGATGAGAAATGTTTCCTGGTTCCTGCCACATCATTTGGTTTACATTGCATTACAACTTTTCCTCCTGGAAGTGAAAATCAGCCACCGATTGGCTGATTGGATCAGACCAGAAAACGCTCTTCAACAGACTCTATAGACAAAAACTCATTCACTCATTTTAACCTCGCAGAAACATAACTTTATAAAATAAAAGTCTTTGTTCCAACAATCACAGACGCTGGTTTGGTTGAAATAAACTCTTTATTTCACAGACTTAGTGAACAGATAGAGATTCGCTTCTTGGTTGTTTGGGGGGGGGGTTTATTAGCTTGTGCTTATTCAGCAGCACTAGAGGACAAACAAACTCAGTTTATGGTTGTTAATAACATAAAGGAAAGGACCATTTATATTTATTTCATTTTTTTCCACTAGCAACTTGGTGTGTAGGCTATACAATGCAACTGACAGAAACAATGGCGAAAGAAAGAAGTTCCGCGGTGTGTTAAAAAGCATCCATGTGATGTTTCCTAACCTTGAAACCGTCACTGTTGAGCTCTCGATTGAACGCCTGCAAGATGTGCTGGTTATTTTAAAATGTGGCAGTGCGTTGGCTCATTGGTTTGGAGGCAACACTGAGGAACATAATGGTTCTCCTCCTGCCAGGTGGAACAATGAGCTGAGGTCCTGGACTCAACACATTTCATTACAGGCTGTGACTGACTGTGTGGGTGTCAATGAGCGGTTAAACCAAAATAACAGTATGTTAATTTGCTGTTTATATAAAAGATTGAGTAGTGAGGGTGAAGTAAAGGCAGGATATGTACACGCATTGCTCCATGCAACGATTGTAGTTTGTTTAAATAAACACATTTCACATCAAATGGCGATAAAATGTCTCAGTGTGCAGTGATTAAGACTGTTCTTTTTACAGCTCACACAATTTTACAGCAGATAATTTATTGTCACACTGTTTCATCCTTAAATGTGCTGAAAAATGCCACAAAAACATCTATTGTTGAATTAAAATATATTCATGAACACTTCATCTGTGATCAGAATTTACATCTGGACATTTTAGTTGGTTATCCATTGTATGAAACTAAGCACAAAGA